AATGGGGCCACCTGAAAATGAGAAGCTTCTATAAAGCAAAGGACAAAATGGCATCCTACAGAATGGGGAAAGATCTTTACCAACCCCCATATCTGATCTCCAAAATACACAGTCAAGAAACTAGACATCAAAGGAGCAAATAATCCAATGAAAATGGGCTAAAGATCTAAACAGAGAACTCTAAACGAAGGAATCTCAAATGTTGAAAGACACTTAAGAAAGTGTTCAACATCCTTACTCATCAGAAAAATGCAAATCAAAACAACTCTGAGATACCATCTTACATGGATCAGAATGGCTAAGATTAAACATTTTGATGACAGCTTATGCTGGAGAGGATGTGGAGTAGGGGGAACTCTCCTCCATTGCTGGTGGGAGTGCAAACTTGTACAGCTGTTTGGAAATCAGTATGGCAGTATCTCAGAAAATTGGGAATCAGCCTACCTCAAGACCCAGCAATACCACTTTTGGGCATATACCCAAAGGATGCACACTCAAACCACAAAGACATTTGCTCAACTATGTTCAAAGCAGCATTATTCATAATATCCAGAACCTGGAATCATCATCCCAGATGCCCATCAATTGAAGAATGGATACGGAAAATGTGGTATATTTACACAATGGAGTACCAAACCAAGATCCCTGAACATGGGTGTCAATTGGGGGTTTGGGCAGTCAATGGGGCCGCTGACAATGGAACATGTACTTATCCATAGTACATGAACAGGCTTTTGGCGCCCATTCCCTATGGAGTGATAAACTCTCAGCCTAGATACAGGGGGGAGGGCCTCAGTCCTGCCCGAAATGATGTGACAGACTTTGATGATCCCCCATGGTAGGCCCCGCCCTCTCTGAGGAGTGGATGAGGGTGGGATGGGAAGATGGTATGGGGGACTGGAGAACAGAGGGTGGGAATGGAGGGAGAGAGAAAACTGGGGTTGGTATGTAAAATAAAATTGTTTTTAATTTAAATAAAATTAATTTAAAAGATAGCCTCAAGAATATTATCCTGTGTATTCATATCTAGCCTTAAACTTAACAAAACTGTCACACTCACAACCAGCTGTTGGAGGCATCTTAAAACTCCAGTGGATTCTAAGATTTAACATTTTACAAGCCACCATCACAACTGTCCTCAGAGCTGACATAGTCTCCTGACTATCTTTTCTTCTACAGTCTGCTCAGTTGAACTATAAAGATGGGGGAGAGGTACTGGGGAGATGTGTCACTGACTACATTGTCCACCCCACAGGCATGAGGAGCTCAGGAAGCCATATAAAAAGCTGGTCATGGGCACACATGTGTACAACCCCAGCAGTTGGGGGTCACAGACAGGCAGATCCTGAGCTCTCATTGGCCGGCTGGCCTAGCCCAATTGGTGAGATTCTGACTCAAGGTGATTAGCAAAAAGTGACAGGGGAAGACACCTGATGAACTACTCTGTCCTCCAGATGCACACACAGGTGAGCACACATGCACACATGTACACACACATATGACACCTTGAAATTTTTTGTAACACCAGGAGGTGACAAGTGGCTGTGATGTGTGAATGTACTCGGGTCAAGCACTGATACTAGTTAACAATACTTCGCACCCTCTGCACACTCTGCATGTTACACACACATTGCACCCCTGTGCACACTCTGCACATTACACACACTTTGCTCCCCTGTGCACACTCTGCATGTTACACACACTTTGCACCCCTGTGCACACTCTGCATGTTACCCACACTTTGCTCCCCTGTGCACAGTCTGCATGTTACACACACATTGCACCCCTGTGCACACTCTGCATATTAC